TGCCCAAATATCAAAGAGAAATTAAAAATGCATGCCATGGAAGTCCTGTAGATTTAATCTTTAACCATGGCCATGAAGATACCCAGCCTAAAGTTCAGCATTGTTTTAATCCTCCAGTGTCAGACAGGAGGCAGAAATGGAGAGTGAGTGAGCCAGAGTTTATGGATGGAGATGATGCATTTGGACATAGAAGGCAGTGCGGCTGCAGCAGACCAGAGCCAGCAGGTCATCAGCTCCCAGCCAGAAGGCCTGAGAATCGTGCTGAGGAATGAGACGCCGATGCCAGGCTGCGACCGTCTGCGTATACTCAGATATTTGTCTCTGTGTGCGAATATTTACAGTGGACAGACAGGGACTGAAACTCTAAAAGTAGAAACGCCACAATGGAAAAAGTCTCACGCGTTCATATATTTTATCTGCGTCACCTCAAAGCCTGCAGAACAGTTTCACTAAAATGTAAATATTGAACATTACAAAGAAATTTAAGCTCTATTTTAGGAGTCATTAGACTGAAGTACATTATCACAATAGTTCAAATATGAATGACCATCGATTATCAAGATGATCCAAATAAGTTAGTGAACAAACTTTGTCAGAATGATGGAAAATCTCTGGACCACAGATTGAAAAAATTCAGGGGGAGGACGTGATAGATCATTAGGCAGTGAATATTGTGTGGAAAACAACAAGCGAGTATGTAAGAAAAATGAAAGATAAGAAATAAGAGGCAATGGAAAGAGTGAGTGATTGCCAAAGATAAAATAGACAAATTGATAAAAAGAAATTTAATAAGAAGAACAGAGAGAACACGAAAGTCTCCAAAAATGGAAATGTTTCAAAATGAAAACTTCAAAACATCCACTTACGTCCCGTACTTCAGGAAATCCATCTATGTGAGGACTTTAGACCTTAAAGAGGAGAAATTTCCTCTGTTTTGCCTGAAACCCCGTCCTCCGGGTGCTGTTAGCCACATTTCCTGCATAACTAGCATGTTTTGTCAGTGTTTGTCTTACCTCCTCAGACATACTGGGTTTGTAAGCCCAGTGTATGTCACAGTACAAACACACCAACACACCAAAACAGGACATGGAGTTGTTTACTGGCATCAGGTAAAAACTACAACTGACTGGCATGTAGACCTGATCAAGACAACCTGCTGAACCGAGCATGACAATGGAGAAGGAAGGTGAATTAAGTGACTTTGGCTGTAACATGGATGTTGGTGCCAGATGGGCTGGTCGTCTATTTCAGAAGCTGCAGGATTTTCCCACACAACCATCTCTGTGGACCTTTTTCTCTTAAAGGAGAAAATATCCAGTGAGTGAAAGTTTTCTGGGCAAAGATGATGCGTTCATGTCAGAGGTCAGAGAAGAAAGGCCCGACTTCTTTGTGCTGATCGGACGGCAACAGTTACAGTCAAGATAGGCAGAAAAGCATCTCTGAAGACAGATTAAACCAACAGATTGAACCTTGAAGCAGCAGCAGAGGAGCACATCGGGTACCACTCCTGTCAGCTAAGAACGGGAAGCTGAGGTTAGAATTTACACAGGTTCACAGAAATTGTACAATTGTAAGACAGTCCAGGCATCTGATTTGGATGACTCCTGGGTGCCACTTCCAGGAACTGAGAAAGGAGCTGCTGGATATATAAATATATCTCAGCTGACTTGGGAATGCCTGAGT